CTCTTCGTAAAAGGATCAGCTAGGTTGTCTTCTGATGCAATCTTGGTGCTCTCAACGTCTCCTCTTGCCACAATATCTCTGATAAGGTGGTATTTGCGCTCTTTGTGTTTGCTTGCTCTGTGGGATTGTGGTTCCCTTGAGTTTGCTACTGTACCACTGTTATCACAGTACACGGTAACAACACGTGGCAAACTCGGAATCACCTCTAAGTCCACCAAGAAGTTTCTGAGCCAAACTGCCTCTTTCGCAACCTCAGAGGCTGCGATGTACTCGGCTTCCATAGTGGAGTCTGCTACGCACTTCTGCTTAGCACTCCTCCATGAAATGGCTCCACCTCCCAAGGTAAATACATGACCTGAGGTTGACTTGCTTTCGTCCCTATCTGACTGAAAATCAGAATCGCTGTAACCCAGCGGAAACAAACTGTCTGCACGGTAAACTAACATGTACTCCTTAGTCCTTCGCGGGTACTTGAGTATATGTTTCACCGCAGCCCAATGTTCCCTTCCTGGATTACTTTGATATCTCGCTACCATGCCAACGGCGTAGCTAATATCAGGCCTAGTGCACAGCATTGAATACATGAGACTTCCTATTGACGAAGCATAAGGAACTGTCTTCATGTCCTCTATCTCCTCAGTCGTCTTAGGAGACAACTTCTTAGATAAAGGTACTCCATGTCTGAAAGGATGTACCTCTCTTAGAGTTCTGCATACTGAATCTAGCCAAGACAGTATCTATATATGAAGACTGGGATAAGCACATCATTCTCTTCTCACGATCACGAATGATCTTGATACCAAGAATGTGTCCTGCTTCACCCAAGTCCTTCATATCAAACTGCTAACCACACCTTTACGTCCGACAACTCCTTCTTGTTGTTGCCAACAAGAAGTATGTCATCCACGTATAGCACAAGAAACACCACCACGGTTCCACTAATCTTCTTGTATACACAGTGCTCATCCGGACATTGGGTGAATCCATATGACTGGATTACCTCATCAAACTGAATATTCCAAGACCTTGAAGCTTGCTTCAGTCCATAAATGGACCGATTAAGCTTACAAACTAAGTGCTCATGCCCTCTTGCAATGAATCCTTCTGGTTGCTGCACATAGATGTCTTCCTGAAGGTTCCCATTAAGGAAAGCCGTCTTAACATCCATCTACCAGACTTCATAATCCATATGAGTGGCTACAGCTAAGAGAATCTGAATTTATATAAGCATAACTACTGGCGAAAAGGTTTCATCCTAATCGATACTTTCTTTCTGGGTATAACCTTTCGCAACAAGCCTATCATTAAAGGTTTCCACCTTTCCATCTGATCCCCTCTTTCTCTTGTAAACCCACTTGCATCCAATGGGACGTATCCCATCGGGTGGTTCTACAAGATCCCAGACTTGATTGGTGTCCATAGACCCCATCTCAGCTTTCATTGCATCCTTCCACGAATTTGCATCTCTATCGTGGAGTGCCTCGTCATAAGTTCTTGGGTCCGATTCTAGGTCTCCTAGAACTGAGTCTGATGACTCCCCAAGACCTATCCATCGGTCGGGTTGTGTAGAAACCCTCCCACTACGACGAGGTACTATCTGTACTGGCACACTATCAGTGTTACGTGTTGCAGTATTATGTGATGTATCTACT